GATCTTGTTCAAACTTGTTTCCATATTAAATTTGATTGTTGGAATAAGGTTGTTTAAAAGATCAACAAAACGGTCCAAATCATCATCATCTCCTGTCCAAATTAGAAAAATGTCATCAATGTAGCGTTTATAAAAAATAAGATAAGACAAAAAAGGATTATTTTTGTAGATGTATTCATGCTCCAAAAATGACTTGAAACAGCATGCATAATCTGGTGCAAAAGTCGCTGTGCCATTCTTCCGTAGATAGAACTCTTTATTGTATAAAAAATAGTTCTTAGTCAATACAAGTTCTGCCATATCAACAAGAAGTTGTGTGGAAGGTGTAAGGTCACTTCTTAAATCCAAAAAATGTCTCATTGCGGCAAGACCCACAAAATGTGGAATATTAGTAAACAAACTGACTACATCCAGAGTCACTAATTTTATGTTTCTGTCCACCTTCACTGATTTAAGGTGATCAATAAAGTCGCTTGTGTCTCTCAAATATGAAGGCTGTTCAGCAGCAATTGGTCTGAGGTAGTGGTCATTAAAAATTGATAGAGGTTCAGTGAGAGATCCTACACAACTGACGATTGGACGTCCTGGGGGATTTTGAAGTGTCTTGTGTACCTTAGGCAGCACATACAAAACAGGCCTCACTGGATACCTCACATATTTTTAGATCTGCTGGGGTCAGAAGAGTGAGTGAGTGGATTGGTATGATGTGAACACACTGTCATGTCATTGGTTTTGTTTGTTGTCAATGTAAGAACATGACAAGAATGCAGAAATTCAAGTTACATTCAGTTGGATTCTTCTGAATGCTTTTTTGGCTCGTTCTTTGTTATCGTGTTATGACAATGCTAATATTTGCCTTCAGTTTGACATATTATTCATCCAAGGAATATCATGAATGCAAGTCTTTTGTATTGTATACGTATTACGTTCTACAATGAAGTTTTTCCTTTTTTCTTTTTCTTTTTTAAACCAGAAAACATGTAAGAGGAAATATACCTAATACGATTTGCTTGGCTGAGAAAACACCGATTACATTATTTAACATAAGCATTATTCTTCCAAGAAATACTTTGCATGCAAAAACCAGAACATTTGTATTGCATGCACCATTGTATGGTGTTTCTGTGTTTCATCATGACACTGAAGTTTGTTCTGATAGTGCTCAGACTGGTTCTCAAATACATAGATACGTGTCATTTAGTTTGCAGGGGCATGTCAGCTGATGTTTGATGTTTTACATTCACTAAGGCGTGGAGTTACTGTGGTGACACTCGGAACCAAGATGCTGGAGATATAAACACTGCCACGAGTTAAAAGAGCACAAACCCATTTCCCTACAGTTCCCTTCTGGTGCTGAGATACAGCAGAGAGTGAGTCATTTATGAGAAAACATTTACTTTAAGTGAAAACGTTATTATTTATAACACAAATGATCTAAACTCCAACATTTGCATTTTACAGCATATTGGGTCTTGTGTGAATGTGAAGATCATCCACATACAATGAATTCTGAGGCTCTTTTCTTCTCTGTATGTACTTGAGAAAAGTAGATTCTGTGATATAGACTCTAGGCAGCATCTTTTCACCACATACTCACGAAGCTCTAAAACTGTTTTCATGGACAGACAAAGATCTCACCTTCGTTATCCCCCTCTCTCTCTCTCAGGTACAGTGTGTGTTTTCTCATACAGGTAAATGTATGTTGTATCATTTTCTTCATCTATTTTGTAACCAGTTCAAGTCGAACTATGACCAAATACTTTTGGTTTCACACGATCATGCTGATAAGGTTTGTTTAGTCATTCTGCAATCCTGCAAGCTGAACCACTGTAGTAAAAGCACTCTTAGCTCGCATTTGCACAACATCCTTTTGTTCATTTGTAACTAACATAAAAACTCATGGTGACATGTTATAACTTCTATTTCTATTCAGTAATCATAGGATTTAAGTAGCTTTGACCATTAATTAAGCTGTAGTTCCGCCAAAGTCTGTTTGTGAATGATTTCACTGCTTATTAAGAGACAGCTTATTTACATAATTTGTAGAAAAAATATAAAATCAATCCTTATTACTGATTTTTGAGTGTTTGAGTTGTGAGGCCAGGAAGGGGGGCACTGTAAGGGTGGTTTCCCCTACAGTGGTTCAGGCTGTAGGATTGCCAAAACTCAAAGAAACATTTATCAGCATGATGGTATAAAACTGTACATTTCTCCACCATGCAAAATGACAATTAGCAGACCCCTGAAATACACATATTTGGCTACAGGCCTTGATCACAATCAGCCCTTCTGTGCCATCAGGTATTCCAAATGTGTCTTTTGTTTCTGAAGACAAGTTTGGGACAGGAAAGCAGAAGTCAGCCCTACAGCACTAATAGGGATCTTGCCCATAGGGTGCCAAGGTCAGAGACGGTTAAAGAGGAACCTTAAAGCAGCACTATATAACTGTTGGCGCTCTAGCTCCAACAGAACTGCACACATCCCGCGGAAGAGCATTCCAACCGGAGCTACTTCTTTAAGTTTATGTCTATGGTGCTTCACTCAGGTATGTGTTACTCCGCAGCGGTGACGACCCGACCAGGCTACAATAGTCCAAATATTAGTACTTATTATCAGTGTACCGTAGTGATTTAGAATAAGACAAAAACACAGTTTGGAAGATGAATTCATGATGTACTCGCTCATTATATACATTTTGCAAATTTTGAACACAGAAAAAGCTACATAGTGCTGCTTTAAAGAAGTTGCTCTTCATTATTAAGCAGGTCACAGTTATCGTGCAATATGCAGATGAAAGATCTTTCTGAAGATGACTAGTGCAATGTCTTGCAAAAGGCATGAAAACAACTAATGTTTCACAAAAACTAAATAGATATCATCGATTTGTGATGACTCAACACAGAAGAACTTGGTCAGACATATTATGGAAAATTTCTGTCAGACAAATTAACGGTGTTGAAAGGGCAGCTACATATAAGCTACTGTTGAGCAGCAAACAGGTTTTTGAAGCTGCAGGTGTCTGGAGTCCCAAGAACCTATTGATGTAGGATCCACCAGAAGCTGACAGTTGTGCATAAAGCTGAATTTCAGGCCCCTCAACCAAATCTCACCAAGAGAAGTGTTTTCAGTGGGCTCAGAAATGCTGATTTCCAAACAGTTTTATTCACGGACGAATGCTGCGCAACACTCAGTAGTCCAGAAGGATGGAGCTCTGGATGGTTGGTGAAAGGCCACCCTTTTCCAACAAGACTGCAACGTCAGCAAAGAAGCAGCGGGTGATGATTTGTGCTGCGGGAATATTGGGAAGTGAGATGAAAAGTCCCTTTAGAGTCTCTGAGGGTGTCAAAATGATCTCTGCTAGACATGTAGAGTTCATAACTGACAATTTTCTGCTATGGTGTAATAAAAAAAATAATGCCTTCTGAAAGACAATGATTTTCATGAAGGACAATGTAACATCCAATGCTGCAAAGAATATTATTGACTCCCTGGTTGCTATAGGTCGAAAAAAAAAAAACGTCCCCTGACCTCAATCTTATTGAAAACCTGTGACATCCTTAAAAGAAAGCTCTATGAGGGTGGATGGCAGTATACCTCAAAACAGTAGCTCTGGGAGGCAATACTGGCATCCTCAAATGAAATACAGGCAGAAACTTTTCAGAATATCAATAAAGCTGTTGTCATTATCAGTTCTTTTGACGTGTAATAACATCCACATTGTAATATGATTGTTGAGAATACACAATAAACAATTGTTTGTTTCAGGTTTTTTTTGACAGCTTTTAGGGTGTATTCAGGCACGGTTGCCTTGAACCGAGCCCGAGCGCGATTATCCCCCCTTCCCCTGCTGGCCTGCACTCACACTTGCACTAAACATTCCAGGCCGGAGCATGCTTACGTCATGTACGAGATAACGGAGAAAACCACTTTCACTAATATTCTACCGAATAATTAATAATAATTAATTTATAATTTATGCCGTGCATTGATTTTCACTTGTATGTATCAGAAACCATATGACAGTCATATGAAAAAGAAGTAAACACAATGGAATGGTTTGGCTGAGACATTTATGAGAAACGTTGCTTTGCATACAGATGTCTATTGTCTACTAAATGAATAAATGTAATATATGGTTTAAGTAAAAAGTGTAACAGAAAAAAAAACACTGACAGATGCCATTTCATTTAAACATTTTATTTGGTCTTAAAGTTTACAATAAGTATACAATGAAACAACGCTATATAAATACCTGAGAATATTGAAGTAGATATTTTAACAGAATAAAACATTTTCAGTATGAATATGTTCACTAACATATGGTCCAATGCAAAATATGTCTAATTAAAATGCACAAACACTTGCAGTCCAGAACTGTTAAGGCAGCAACACATTGACAGGATCATTTTCATTTAACTTCAGCCAAAAATGTTCATGTTTTTTAATGTTTCAAGATCTAATTCTGTTATACAACAAGAATGAAGTGCATAAGGCAAGAATATAACAGCACAAGTGTATTTTGCATCAGAAAGCTGTAAAAATTCAGCAAATTTCCAAAGTGGAGAGGCAAGGCAAATTTATTAATATAGCACATTTCATATTCACTGGTGTTTAAAAGCACTTTACATAAAAGTAATAAAAAGTAATAAAACAGTATAAAATATAAAACTAGTTACTAGTTAGAGGAACAAAATTTTGGTAATTATGTGCATTGTGCTTTGGCTCCGTTATTATGCACGGATGAATCTGATGGTTTGAGCTGCATCACAGAAGCACATTTACACCATACATTAAAAAAAATAAATGAAAAGCTATCACATCACAATTACGACAAAGTTGAAATTATGACATAAAAGGTCAAAAGTATGACTAAGTCAAAATTGACAAAAAAAATTTAATTAATTTTTTTTCAGTAATAAGACTTGGTCAGTTCTTCTTATAGCTAAATTTCTTTTTTTATCTCAGTTTTGACTATAAATTCATTTTTAACTCATAGTTTCAACTTTTTATCTCATAATTATTATTTACCAATGCATGATTTTATTTATTTTTTTTAATGTGGGGAAAAGAGCCTAAATATTGAGCCCTTGGTTACAGGTGATCCTTTATCAGTGCGAATGACACTAATGACATCAAAACATCAAACACTCCTAAAATCAAATAAATCAATAAATAAATAACGAATGAAAGACAAATATTACAAAAAAAAAAAAGTCATGACCGGGTAAGTACCAGTACCACTGTTGTTTTGACTTAACACAGTAGGCTATTTAAAGGCAAGAAGATCAGCGTAGCATAGACTGGAAATGTTACCAACATAAACATTGATTTACGAACCTTGTCAATGAACAGCAAATGTGATGTTATGCAAATGAAGCATATTTCTAGAAAGCCAAACAACATAGATTTGTGTTTTACTATGGGTACTGTCGTTTTGTTTGAAAACTTTTTTCGGTTCAAGGTTCATTTGTTGTGGCTTCAAGGTACTATAGCATTGTCAATTGCATATTGTGATCGCCTGACCTTCTTGCCGTAATTTACAGATATGAAAAACACACAGAAAAATAATGGTTCAGTATTCAGTTTCCCAACAAAATCCATCCCAGCAGCTGTAAAGCAATTATTATAGGCTCTCCCTAGTGACTTAGTGATGAGCGGAGTGCCTTGCGAGCTTACAATAATTTAAAAACATTTTGGGGATTCTGCTTGAATTTGCCCAAAATCATATATGACCAAGTCACTCTAGACTGCTAGGTAGCCTTAAATTGTGTAGTAACATCCTCACTGCGGCAGCAACAATGAAAGCATCTATTTCCTCCTCTGACTCCTTGTTTAAGGCGAAAGCTCATGCAGTTGCTGCCGGAGTGCCAAGCTGCACATCTGTGTCATTCACCTGCTTTAGCTGCTTCATCACGATCATCAGCAGTTACTGATTTATAACGTGAGCCAGGGCTCACAACCTCAAGAGTGTCTGAACCCACGCCGCGTTCACCTGACTTAAGGCAGCTTGAGATCTTTTTTCTAAAGATAATTACAATGATTAGTATAACCAGTATTATGGTTAACAGAGTGCCAACCAGGATCCAAAGCCATGATTTCTCGACACTGTCTGGTCTGGTTTCTTCTTGGATTTCTTGATCAATGGTTTCATTTCCTTTTTCTGTTGTTGGTTCTGCAACAAAAAAGTCTGAGAGAAAACAACATTACTGCACTGTGACAAAGACAACAGATCCCTATCATTTATATACAGCAGCTTTTAGGGTGTATTCAGGCACGGTTGCCTTGAACCGAGCCCGAGCGCGATTATCCCCCTTCCCCTGCTGGCCTGCACTCACACTTGCACTAAACATTCCAGGCCGGAGCACGCTTATGTCATGTACGAGATAACGGAGAAAACCACTTTCACTAATATTCTACCGAATAATTAATAATAATTAATTTATAATTTATGCCATGCATTGATTTTCACTTGTATGTATCAGAAAATTATTACGGAGGCAGCTGACGTTAATGAAATAATTTGCAGCTTCACTCGCAAACTACATTTCCTGTTCATCAATAAGGTAAGAACCAGAGCCATTATAAACATAAATATACTTGATTGAATTAAATTAATTGAAAAGTGTAGTGTAGTAGTAGTAATAGAATGTGTTTGCGATCATAATGATGACAGTAGCACACACAAAATAGTATCTGTGCCGTGCTCCGGTGCAGTTAGCGCTCACACTGCATGCGTACCGCGCCCCGAGCCCAACCGAACCGTGCCCTGGCCCACCTCTTCCAACTGGGCCAGGGCCGGCTAAACGAACGGCGCTCGCTCACACTAGTCAAACGAACCGAGCTTTGGGGGTCAAACGCACTCGAGCACGGTTCAAAATGCCTAGTGTGAGTACACCCTTAGACTGAAACATCAATCATACAACTACCATTATAGATTTTAATTCATAGAGCTTCATTTAGATTAAAAACAGCTAGTTTCACACACCGTTGATGATCAGCTCTACAGTCCCCTGTTCATCTGAGGGTGTGATGAGGCAGATGTATTTTCCTGCATCAGCGTGAGTGAGACCAGAGAGTTTGATGGAGAAGTTTCTTCGTTCATACTCCTGAGGGAAAGTTTCAGCTCTGTTCTTGTATCGTGGGTCCTGTGTCTCTAGTGAATTACTGTGTGGAATTAAATCACACACATTTTTGCTGCCATTGTGTCTCCAGCTCACATCAACCTCTTGAAGTTTATGATCATGATCATCTGAAGAACACGGCAGGACAACAGAACCACCGATGAAACCCTCTACTGTGACCTGCAGACACACTGAAATGAGAGAGACTTTAGAAAAGAAAGCCTGTGGCATGAATTTATAGTAAGTGCAGCTAGTGATTTCTGAGAAATACCACTGATAAATGCAATCAACACCAAAATAAACAATTTTGAGAATATTTGCTATCTGTCTGCTCTGTGAGTCTCAATAAAAAGATATTGTTTGTACATAGTGTATATGACTGATCAGACCAAGCACCCGTGGAAATGGCGAGTCAGCGTCGGCACTCGACACTGACTCAGAAAGCACTAGTTTATTAATAAATAATTAAAATATCTTATTTTCCCCCGACACGTTCATAATCACTTTGCCGGTGCTTTGAGGCAATTGCTTTATGCGCGAGCTTGAGCGCGGAATAGGCTCTAGCCTAATACGTCTGCATATAGCCTATATTGAAGTATGGTTAATATATTATTATATTAATCAATTTAATATAATGTGCGACTAGTTGACTAGAAAAATCTTTAGTAGAGGGCAGGCCTACTTAGCACAAGGAAGCTCTCAATTTTTAAAATAAAATGCTATAGCCTAATGACATTACGAAAAGTGCGACAGCTGCAAATCACGTCGTTATTGCACTGCACGAGTTATGCATGCGTAAGGAGTCAAATGTTTTATTTTTTTGTATCACCCTAATTAGATTATGAAGAATGATTTGTTGATCTTGTTTTCCCTTTAATACATACATACCTTCCACAATATATTTTTCAATTACTTTCAAAACGTGGTAGGGACAATATCGACCCTGGCAAAAAGTGGTGGGGACATGTCCCACCCCTCCCACCCGCAAATTACGCCTATGAATGGTATAGAGAATGAGAATGTGTCGACACGGAGCAATGCATTCTGGAAATTTTGTCATGAAATCATCAATTGCCATAGTCCTTCTCACTGTCGGCATGAAAAATTTGTGTTTTTTTCTGTACTAGAAAGCTGAAAAAGCAAAGGTATTTCATGCAGACATTGATAAGAGCTATAGCAATTGATGATACAGTAAGCCTTAACCATTCCAACGTGACCTTAAACCTATAAACATAAAATATTATAAAATGTCTACATTCACTATGGAACGCGGATGAAACTGAAACTCAGTAAGGTAAACTACTTAAATAAAATGTGACTTTATAATTGATCTCTGTAGATTTATTATATTATAATAATATACACTGTTTTGCGTTGAACTGTAAGTGCTTACACCACAAACAAAGTAGTGGTGTAAGCAGCTTGCTGATTGTTTGTATGGGTTAAGCTCATTCAATTATATGACTGCACTCTTCTGCATCCTTGTTTGGCATCTCTAATAGTAAGGAATCTTCGGCTTGGTTCATTCAAGTGAAGTTATTTATTTGTAAAGCACCCACAATACACATCGTTTCGAAGCAGCTTTGAAGTTATTCTGTTACCTCTATAATGACATAATGCTTTAACATTGAGCAGTTTTAGGACTGGGCAATATGACAATGAAAATATATAACAATGATAAATGATCCACTGTTTGAGATCTAGCTATATTGTATTTATTCTTCCCTTAAGAAATGTAACAATGGTTTTACTACAAATAAAACCAAAAGTACATGGTTACTATAGTTAAACTATGGTAATTACAAATCAACCATTGTTTTGCTACATTAAACACAGTTTAACCATGGTATTGCTAGTAAAACTGTGGTTATACAAATGGTAATCATTACACCAAAAACATGGTTACTAAATGTTTACTATAATAAAACGATGGTTAATTTTCATAAGGGCTTTAGAAGTTATATCAGTACCACTTTTGTGAAGGAGACAGAATACTATGTGATGAATATTTGCAGTGTCTCAGACACACAAGTGAGTATTTCTTTTTTTAAAAGATATTTACACATTAGTCAGTTTTATTCTCAGTGTACATAAGCTCTTTTTTTAAAAATTATTCATATGAAATGGTAGGCTTTTTCTGGGCTGATTTGTGTTTGTTTACACTGTACATGTGTGCTCCTGAGCGTGTCCACAAAATGGCGATCTTCGCTTTATTTTTTTTTATTTCCTCTATTTGTGATTGATGTAATTATGAAAACAATGTTTGTGTTACATGTTTATGAATCTAGGGGAAGCACAGTGAAGGGAGGGGTGTGTTTCTTTAGGTGATTACAAGTATCAGCAGTGTTTCTCAGAAATCACTTACTGCACCTTTAAAGGGGTCATATGATGTTGCTAAAAAGAACATTATTTGGTGTAATGAAATGTGTTTATGCTGTTTAAGGTCCAAAAAACACATTATTTTCCACATACTGTACATTATTGTTTCTCCTCTATGCCCCGCCTTTCTGAATTGCGTAGATTTTTACAAAGCTCATCGGTCTGAAAAGCGAGGTGTGCTGTGATTGGCCAGCTATCCAGTGCGTTGTGATTGGCCGAATACCTCAAGCGTGTGACGGAAATGTTACGCCCCTCACCATATTGTGATGATGCCCTGTCCGGCTGGAGCGACGATTCAAAAACATGAAAACCCATTATAAACGAGGCATTCGTAGCATCCAGTGGGGACATAATTATGGATTATAATGACATCTTTTTACGCGTTGCGTTGCATCGTGCCGCTTAAACATAAAACCATGTCTGCATTTGTGATCGGAGAAATAACAAACAACAAGCCCTACTCTACACTGCCCAAAAAACTCGCTTTAAATATAAAAAATATAAAAACTCTTTAAATATAAAAAACGTACTTACAGTCCGTGAGTCAGAACAGCCGGCATTGTAGTCTACTCTACCAGGATCAGGAAACAGCCCTCCATAAAATGTGCTGCACACATCTGAATATTTGGGTTGAACTGTTCTGGAACAGTGTTGTAAATACAGCTTAACCACTCATTTCTAGTCGTGTCCTCTTTTGGAAGACCAAACAAAGTAGTTTCGCTTTCACAACGAAACAGTGTCACACACGGCGGCCTAGAGTGAGCAGAGGCCGAGGGCTAGAGTGAGAAACGGCCGGAGGGTTAGAGTGAGCAGAGGCGGCGGATTCGACGAAGGAGCGTCCGGAGGGATTGCGGCAATCACATGTGACGACCCCGGGCTGGACTCTGCTTCGCCCACGGTGAAAGCCGATCCGGCAATCGACAGCGCAAAGTACTTCCTCAGCGACCCACACGGATCAGCTCCAGGCATCACGAAGCGGATATCGTCCTCTTTTGGAAGGCCAAACAAAGTAGTTTCGCTTTCACAATGAAGCACACAGCGTCTTCATGCCAACAACAATACTACAGCGAGAATAAAAGTTACGCCTTCTTTCTTTGCGTGAACATTTGGGTGGCGTTATGCAAATCTTCAGAGCTACGTAGGAGGTAGGCGTGGCTGACTCTTAACTTTTATAAAGAATATCTCTTTGGATTTGAGACTTTAGTCTTTGCAACTTTACAGATCTTCTTTATGCACCAAGAGCTTGTAACACTCCAAAGAGAAAGGAAAACGTGAAATTGCATCTTGTGACCCCTTTTAAGTGTGTTGTTCAGATGCTTACCTTTATTTATCAGCACTGCAAATACACAGATGAAGCTGCAGCTGCAAGAACAGAAATAAACAATATCCTATTAAATACTGTAACTCAACTGGGTTTTATTTCCACATAACACAAACGCAATAAGATAACACTCCATATGACAATGCTAATTGCTAATGCTAATGGGAACATACATAAAAATGTAGGTTATTCCCCCACAGATAAACCTGATAATCATAAATCAGCCACTTCATGTTTTATGTATTAATGATGTTAAAGTTTTCTTAACTAAAAGGTTTCCATTTTTAATTATATTTCAATAAAGCATGTGCAAACCACAACACAACAGAAACAAACCAAAATACGAAGACGCGTTTATACCTGATCATCGTGGTGCCCCAATATTCTCAATATGTTTTATTTTAATATATTGCATTTAAATATGTCTTAAATTAAGATTAAATACTCTTTTCTTTTCAAATAACAGAGTATCATACACGCTTCCGCATCAGTATGCCATGCGTGCTACGGATGACATCAGACGTAAGTGACGTCAACAGTAACCACGTGAACGACATGAAACGCGCTCCAGAGATTTCTTCTTCTGAGAAATATGGGGTTCCATTTGTGTCAAAAATGAGCCGACTGCTTTGTGTTTTGTACTATACATTTGTCTTTGTCTACAGTCGTAGTCCGGTGAACATTAATTTGAATGAATTATTATACTTCGTTTTGTACTGTGAGGTGAATTTGCAGACGGTTCCTAAAGCAGCCTAGTCAAATATGAAATGTGAAACTAACTTTACTGAGCTGATTAAGGTATTGATGACAGAACAAGACGACAGTTAGGACGACAGAACAGGACGACAGGACGACAGAACAAGATGACAGTTAGGACGACAACAAGACGACAGTTAGGACGACAGAACAAGACGACAGTTAGGATGACAGAACAAGACGACAGTTAGGACGACAGAACAGGACGACAGAACAAAACGACAATAAGGACGACAGTAATTAAATGACAGAGAAAAAGCAGGCAGGACGACAGATTAAGACGACGTCAACACACAACATACATGCCTACATATACTGATTTACCTGAACAAGTAGGCAATGACTGTAGACAAAGACAAATGTATAGTACAAAACACAAAGCAGTCGACTCATTTTTGACACAAATGGAACCCCATACTGAGACAGCCAGGAAGATGGCGGATCGGGTGCATCACATGTTGTGAGCTCTTGAGAACTGTCCCAGATTTTTACGTTACACTATCCAATCATTATAATGTGTTCCTTTTGAAGTAACATATATCAATAACCTGAAAAACAAAAGAAAAGAAGGTGCACCATGTCTACGAAAAAGAATCTAGCTTTATCCCGCAGTAATGAGGCAGTTGGCGGCCATGAGTATGCTACAAGGATGGAAGTTTCCACCGAGAATACTAAAAGAAAAGATCCTTTCTCGCCGGTAAAGAACGCACCAACAATTAAAAGGAAAGGATACGGGGACCGAAGGGAAAGAAGGAATGAATGCAGTCTTAGAAGCAATAAAGCAGCTAACGGATAAGGTGGACACACTACCTAATACCTACTCGGCTACAACAGAATTCCATCATGTTAACCAACATAGCCAAGGCAGTCGAGTTCAATGCGGCCGAAATCAATGACTGCAAAACTCAGTTACAGTCTTCGGTCCGCGAAGTATCGGCTTTAAAGAAAGATAACGAGGAGTTGATGGAGCGTGTCTTGGAGCTGGAGCGATACAAACGCCGATGGAATCTGAGGATTCGTGGTCTAAAGGAAAAGGATGGTGAAGACATACGAGAGGCCGTTGTTCAGTTACTGGTGAAAATCTCCCCATCATGGTCCTCGTACATCAACCATATCGTGGACTCGGTTCATCGAATAGGTAGACGTGAAGAAAATAAAACAAGGCATGTCATCATTCAGTTTACTCAGAGAATACACCGAGATGCACTGTGGAGAATGACAAAGGACCACGTGATCTGCAAAGAGCTTCGTATCAGCTTCATCGAAGACCTCTGCAAAGCCGACAGGGAGACCCGAGCTGCACTGTGGCCCAAGATAAAAGAAGCTAGAGATGCAGGAAAGCGTGCGTACTTCCGAGGAGGTGTTGGGTATATAAACGGACAAAGAATCACATAGGAGCACATATATGAACAAAGGCCTTAGTATTTAAAGCTTGAAATGGCCTTTTGATTTATAGGATTGTTTGGATGGTCTTTTTGCACTGAATGCAGTTTGAAGGGACAGTGCCTGTTTGGGCTTTTGTTTCTCAATTTTTCCAAAGTATAATTGGTTGGACTTAATAATATTTGTTGGCAGTTGCCAATTTTGTTTATGAATAATTCAGTTTTTTCTTGTATTTCACTTAATGTTAGGGGCTTAAGAGAGAACACTAAGAGAAAGTCATTATTTCTGTTTTGCAAGGGCAAAAAAGCACACTTTATTTTGTTGCAGGAAACACACTCCAAACCAGAAGATGAAAGATTTTGGGTAAATCAATGGGGAGACAATATCCTTTTTGATCATGGGTCCACTAGATCAGCAGGTGTGGCTGTTTTGTTTTGTAATCCACCCGGTAAATTAGTGACATCTAGATTCAGCAATAATGGTCACTGGATAATCTGTGTCTTGAAAATGGATGACCATCATTTTATTATGGTCAATGTTTATGGTTTTAATAATGTAATTCAAAACAGACAGTTGATTTCAGATGTTTCCAGTGTCATTGTAAACCTTAAACTCATTTATCCGACTGCTAGTATAATTATGGGTGGTGATTTTAACATGGTCAGTGATGAATGCCTTGATAGATATCCCTCCAGACGTAGCCATAGTTCTTCTTATAACCCTGTTTTAACTGATTTTTGTCGCACTCACAATTTATTGGATCCTTGGCGCTTTAAATATCCTAACATGAAACAATAGTCTTGGTTTAATCCAAATAATGTAGTAAAGTCAAGAATAGATTTTTGGTTAATTTCAGTTTCAATTATTCATTTTGTCAGTGATTGCTCTGTCAGCAGCTCCTCTTACAGATCATTCTGTTATTAAGTTGATTTTTAAACCTCCTGGTGTTAGCCGACAAAATAAAGGGTATTGGAAATTCAATTCAAATTTATTAAAATGCCAGTCATTTAATGAGGGTATTAGGGTCATAGTCTCTAATGTGATGTCTGATGAATCAATAGTGTCCTATATCTCCAAATGGGAATTTCTTAAATTTAAAATGAGGGAATATTCAATTAATTTTGGTAAAACACTAAATAGAAGTAAAAGATTATCTGAATTTAATATTATTAAAGAAATAAATGTCTATTATAATAAAACATCACCTACTGATAATGAAAAACAGAAACTACAAAGTCTTCAAAACTAACTCGATGAAATCTATCTATCAGGTCTAGGGCTAAATGGATCGAGGAGGGGGAAAGGAGTACTTCATATTTCTGTCGGATAGAAAAAAGAAGGCAAGAGAGACTTTCAATTAAAACTTAATTGATCCAGGACCAGGTAATTACTGATCAAGCTTCAATCACTAAGGAAGTTGTTTCTTTTTACAGTAGCCTATATTCCTCAAACTTTTCTCTGGACGATACAACATCCTTTTTTGACCTTATTAAAGATTTTATTCCCCATATAGATGATGATTTTGTAGCACTGTGTGATGCAGATATTACATCTGAGGAATTGGATAAAGCAGTAGGTAGCTTATCTTTAGACAAATCTCCAGGGTGTGACTGCAAACTTTTATAAACACTTTTGGAGCATACTAAAAGAACCTTTTATGCTTATGTTAAAAGAAGCAACAGAAAATATGACATTTCCGTCCACCATGAAACAAGGTATAATAACTTTAATCCCTAAACCTGATAAAGACCCCAACATTTTAGATAACTTTAGACCAATTACATTATTAAACACTGATTATAAAATTGTAACCCTTATATATGCTAATAGATTACAAATGTTTCTACACAAAATTATAAGCGAATCTCAAGCTGGCTTTATGAAGGGAAGATCTATACACAATAATATTCGGTTAGTGCTT